CTTTGCTGGCAATAGAACCCAGGACCTCATGCACACTAAGCAAGTACTCTACTAATGAGCTACACCACCAGTCCTTTTTGTTTCTTTAACTGTATTCTCAAGTCAAATATAATTTTTGATGTCCTGATATATTTTTGTCTTCTTTGTCCATGCTTTATTTCATTAAACATTCATTAAATACAGGTTGAGCACCTATGTCATATGCCAGAGGTCCTATTCTTTTAGCAAAAAGTTGAAGCACTGACAAGTACACATACATATGCACATAACACATAAAGGGGAGAAATAAGACCAGAAGAAAGTATATTAAAAGGAGGACAAGTAAAACTAAGAACCCAACATTAGGACAGAGGAACAGAGTGCACAGGGTGAATGTGACAGACCAAGTGGGTAGAAGAAAGAAAGTGAGACAGAATAGTGAGAGACTAAGACACTGCCAAAGTAATCACCAGATGGTAAGGCTTAATATAAATTGCACCAAAGCAGATATGCAAATATATTCTACATGAATTTTTAAAATTCACATTTCAAGTTATCTGCTAGCTATCCTGTGGATAAAAATTGGATCAAGATAGCGACATCTGGTGGACATTTTAGAAGTGACCCTGGAGTTTCTCTACAATGAAACCATAAATACCCCCATGCTTCTACACTGACAATCATAATGTGTTAGGGCTCCACATTACAAGAGTAGCCAATGTTACTTTATATGTTTGATCTTTCTTTTTGTGTGTGTAGGGGGAGATAATGAGGATTGAACACAGAGGCACTCTATCACTGAGCACATCCCCAACCCTATTTTGTGTTTTATTTAGAGACAGGGTCTCACTGAGTTGCTTAGCAACTGGCTTTGCTGAAGCCAGCTTTGAACTCTAGATCCTCCTGCCTCAGCTTCCAAAGCTGCATGATTACAGGCATGAGCTATCGCACCTGGCTATGTTTGATCTTTCTATCTCCCAATTGACTTCCAACTGCTCTGAAAGGATGTATACAAAAATTACAAAATCTGACATCACAATTCTTCTTTTACAAGATAATTTCTTATTGCAAATGTTCACATCCTTTTAAGTTGTCTTAAATTACTTATTTGTAATATGAGAGGCAAGTCTGGAGAATCTAAAAGTCCAATGACAAAGCACTGGTCAAGAAAAATCACAACCCTTATAAAGTTTACCAAACATATGTAGCCCCAATAAAACAAAAATTTTAACAATTTCCTATTAAGAAACACGGAGGGCTGGGGTTGTGGCTCAGTGGTAGGGTGCGTGCCTAGCATGTGTGGGGTACTGGGTTTGATTCTCAGCATCACATGTAAACAAATAAAGTAAAGATCCATTGACAATTAAAAAAAAAAAAAACTTAAAAAGAAACATGGAGTGATCTGGGCATGGTGGTGCACACCTGTAATCCCAGTAGCCTGGGACAGCTGAAGCAGGAGGATCGCTATGTCCAAAGCCAGCTTTATCAACTTAGCAAGGCCCTAAAGCTACTTATCCAGGCCCTGTCTCAAAAATAAAAAATAAAAAAAAGAAGCACTGGGGCTGGGGCTCAGTGGTTAAACACCTTTAGGTTCAATCCCTGGTACCAAAAAAAGAAAGAAAGAAAGAAAAGAAAAAGAAAGAAACATGGGGTGAAAAAAAAGCAAAGTCAAAAGGCTGGCACATAAGCTGGGTGTGGTAGCACATGCCTATGATCCCAGCTATTTGGGAGGCTGAGGCAGGAAGATCATAAGATTGAGGCCAGCTTCTACAATTTAGCAAGACCCTATCTGAAAATAAAAACGGCTGAGAATGTAGCTTAATAGTAGAACTATTCTGGGTTCAACTCCAATACCAGAAGAAAAAAAAATTTAAACTTGTACATAATATGATCTCATGTAGAACATTCATAAAGAAAAAAAGATTAGACAAATATATTCCAAAATATGAACAATGTTTACTTCTGGATGGACAACTTGTGGCCTGGTGTTTGTTTTTTTTTTTTTTAACTTCTTTTTGATATTTATCAAATACTTTGTAATTAATATATGTTATTTCTAAGTCAAACTTTGTCTTTTAAACAATGCATATGTTCTTATTAACTGCTAGAGTTTTTCAACTTTTGTCTGACTTTATTAATTTCAGAAAAAGATGATGAATCAAGGCTTATGTGAGCTAGAATTTCCATAAGGAGAAACAAGAAAAGAAGGCAAACATAAAAATTCTGTTCCAGGATGTGAGTTCTAGTGGCGAAATCCCCCCAAATATAGAGGTATCCTGAAATTCCAGTAATGTCACCACATTCCTCTCAGTAGTGCACCAGACTTACAGAGGGCTTTGCTGGCACCAAGGAGTTACCGAATCTCATAATCACTTGAGTTCCCATCTTCAGAGTCCCCAGAAGGCCAAATCAGAGCCACCTTAAAATAGGAAAAGAAAGAAATGGGCAAATATTCAGGAAGAGAAAGAAATTCCACAAGCTAAAACAACTAGTTGGATCAGGCCCTGTCCCCCAAACCTATCTTAAGCATCTTGAAATACCAAAATAATACCTTGGTTAGCAGGAAATCTAGCCTAAGGTATTATAATCACAACAGAGCTATGCCAATGGCATTTTAAATTCCAGTTACTTAAGATTTCATAGTAATAAAGAGCAATTCTCCTATCCATTTCCCTCATTCATTCACTTATCAGCCAAGGGCCATAATGTATATTCTGAAGATAATTAGGAGAAATATTGGAAGCTTTGCTTCTTGGCATTTATTCTTTAATTCCCAGAATTCATCCTTAACTCCAAAACGTATAATTCTAATGTAGAAATGTATATACAGCACTTTAAGCTTACAGAGTAAACCTTGGAATTAGGGGTAATTTTTTTTACCCCCAGGCTAACATATAGAAAATAGGGTAGGCATATAGAAAAATTAAATAAATCATTTCATTTTCAAGTTCATGGAACTTGACATCATTATTTTAAGTGAAATAAGCCAAACTCAGAACCTCAAAGGTTGAATGTTTTCTCACACATGTGGAAGCTAGAGGGGGGGAAAGGAAAAGAAAGGTGGGGAGTGATAGAATAAAAAGCAAAGGGAGATCGTGAAACAGAGAAAAGGGACCATGGGGTTGTGAGGTAGTGTTGGGGAGGGATATTAGCCAAATTATATTGTTGTATTGGGTGCATGTACTGATATGTAACAACAAATACCACCATTATGTATAACTAAAACGCACCAGTAAAAAAGAAAGAAAATAGGGTAGGAGTTGCTCCAACAATTAGTGGTGGCAGCCCCCCTGGTCCACATTGTATAAATCTACTTGCACTACCTAGGTCTGCACCAAAGCACAAGGAGAACAAGCCAGTAAAATAATAATGGTGATGATGATAGTGGCAGCCAACATTCGAGTACGTATTATACACTGTTGCTAGTCCTTTAAATTCTCACAAGCACTCTCTGATGTTGATACTATTCTTACCAACTTTTTTGTGCTGGGATTTCATTTTCACTACTCTTACCCACCTTCAGAGATTAATCCGTCTTAGGGACCAACAGAGGGTCAGCGACATTTGGGTAGGAAGGTGTGCAGGTTGAGAAGGGGAAGCGCGATACCCCTCGTCTCTATACTCTTGAAGTCTAAAACAGAAACTGCACACTAAGAATCTCCAGGGCTCAGAGAGGAATCCGTCTCATTCTTCTCATCCCACCGTCTCCCCCTCGCTCGATCCGATCTGGACATTCATTCGTGGTAATATTTTCCAGTTACCAGTCACTTTTAGCACCTACCTTTCAAAGTACCGATATGTCTGGTTCAGCATCTCGGTCCCCACCCATTCTGGACTCGGCCTGCGCTTTCTCTGGCGTCGCCGCTGCGTTACCGCTGCCATGGTAACACGGAGGCGTCCCCGCAGCTCCGCCTTCCTGCAGCCAGCACGAGCTGGCCCGGTCCGGCCCTGATTCCACGCCCCCGACTTCCGGACCCCGCCTCCAGCCGGCCCGAGCCCGCCCCTGCTAGATCGCGCCCCGGACGCCGGGGACCCAGACTCTACCACCTGCCAACCCAGACTCCGCCCCCACCATCCCGTACCCGCCTCCCAACCCATCAGACCACCACTCCCCGCAGGCCTTGATCTGGCTGTCCCCCTGGCCACGCCCCCTGCGAATCTGGACCCTTGTCCTGCCGGCACCGCCCAGGGCCTTCCTTCAACCAATGAGAGTCCTCCCACTGTTCAGCCAAACTACACCCGAGTCCCGCAGCTGCGCGGGCAGAGAATGGGGTCGCTCAGGTGCTAGTACTGGTTGAATTTTCTGCTGGGCGGGGACCCGCTTCAAAACCCCGCCCCAGAAAACGGACCAGGCTTGTTCCTCACGCTGTTTATTGATTTTGCGGCTCCACGGAGCAATAGCTACCAGTTCAGCCAAGAAGAGTTTCCGGGTTTCTCCACGCTGTTTGGTGACTTGAAGTTCCCGTGGCCAGTGGTTGGAGAAAGCTTCTTCCGTGCCTCAGCGCACGCCCCCATTTATCTCCCTAGGTGTGGGACCCTTGATCCCGCCGCCACTGAGGGAACTGCCCAAGCCAGCCCTGGAGGCTGTATGCAAAAGCTCAGAATGGTTTTCCAGAGCACCCCCTCTTCAACTTTGGAGTTTAAGGTGTGTAAAAGTGATACCATTAAATAAAACTTAACGCAATCAGCTCATCGTGAGCCGGATTTTTCCGCACTTGAGAGCCTGAGCAATGTTAGGAGTCAAGGGCCTACCTTCCTGCACAGTTCACTTAACCTTTTTTTTTTTTTTTTTTTTTTGTGGAACTCTTTTACCCATAACTAACCTAATCACAACTCCAAGCTAACAATGGCAAATAAGAAGCCTAGGAGAGAGGCTGGAGACATCCATAATTCCAAAGGGCTCTGGAGCTCTTTAAGATTAAAATGTGGCCAACATCCCTGGGCCACTCATTCCCCAAAGCAGTGGATTCTCCCCACAGGAGTAGTGGTAAAAAGATGGAAACTGTTCTTGCTCCGGAGGCTCACACCAGAGTCCCATTCTTGCTGTCATATCGAGGTGTGGCCTGGGGGAAGCAAAGGGTAGCATACTCTGTAGCATTTTCTAAATACCAGTGTTTCACTTCACTGGCGGAGCGTGGTTGGGTAAGACTGTTCACTTGAATATCTGCATAATGTAAGTTGCTCTCCTCCAACTTGAGGTCTTGATTCCTCTTTTGAGATTTAGGCTGCTGTAACACCTGCTCATACATGTGTCCTCTTATTTCATGGTCCTGCAAGGAATTGGCAGAATTAAAGATGATGCTTGGCTTGGTTTTACCCCTCACCGCTAGTGCAGAGCAAACTAGACTGAGGTCCCTTTACTTTGCTCCTTAGGGACAGAGGAGGCTAAGCAGAACCAGCAAATTCTACAGATGACTGAGATGTGTTTGTCCCAGGGTAAAAAAGATAAATACTGGGATCCCATGTCTGAGTAGTCCCAAGAGGCGATGAGGCCTGTCATTACCTTTGTGAAATTCTGCTGCAGCTGTTGTTGCTGCTTCTTCAATGTGCGTCTTGCTTGGCTCCCTGCAGGGAAGAAATCCAACTTAACTCCATTCTCTGTTTCTGCTGAGACCGCCCTTTTCGATCTTTAGTTAACTACTGTGGGGGGCTTCTACACTTCCTGTCTCCATTCCCAATTCTTTCACTTCTGTTGTTCCTACATCTGAACTCCTTCGCAGGGTATACCATCTGTCTTTTTCACAATCTGGTCATAATATCTTCCATCCTCATTTTCCCCAGCCCCTGACATAGTTTCATAAATATACGTTGAGACTCTGTGCCACGTTTTAGGGATAGAAGCATGAGGAGGCGGTTTCTACTGCTTCAGGGAGCTTAGAGACTACTGGGGCAGACAAATTAGTAAACAGACTGACTACTATGTGGTAGGTTAGTGCTCAGTCACATTAGTGGGCCACTTTCAATCAAGTCTCTCTCACTTTCTCCTTTCTGTATCTTTCACATGAGTGAGTATCTATTACAGCTATAATGTTATCATTATTTGTTTACATGAGTCTACCTCTCAAACTTGATTTTCAGCTCTTCCAGGGCTGAGACCATGTGCCCTTCTTGTGCTTCTTTGCCTCCACCTCACAGAGTGGCTCACATTCAATATAAATGCTCTGTGATATTTACTAAATGAATGAAAGAATGGGTGCCCCAACCTGCCACTCTGAGATAATATAAAAGAAATAAGATCCACAGACTCAGGGCTACTCTTGAACCCAGCAAATTAAAGATTCTCTTTGGTGTATTATCTTCCTTTTTTGCATCCAAGGCCACTTGTTTTTTTTACCCTTATGCCCTTTCCTTTATTATTTTTTTATTATAATTATTATTTTTTTAGTGTGTGTGTGTGGTGCTGGGGATTGAACCCAGGGCCATGTGCATGTGAGGCAAACATTCTACCAACTGAGCTATATCCCCAGCCCCACCCTTTATGCCCTTTCCTAAGATATCATTTGTCTTGTCTCCTCTAATTTGCTCTACCCAGGGCTTTCCCTCAAAGTTACCTTTTTTCTTTTTCTTCTGGAAAGTTGATGGGCAGCTCCTGTGATAGGAAAAACAGATCACCTATGTGCAAGAGCTCTGACCTCCCTTCTTTCATTATTTGTTCTGTGGTCTCTGTAACATTCCCTAAAAATTCATCCTGAGCCAGGTTCAGCCTGAAAGCATTTCTCAAGGGTACCTCTCCCAGATGGATGGTTCTGGAAGGTAGAGTGGTACAACTGACATAACCAAACCCAAAATACAGCTTTAGGCAACCAGCACTACATGCCAGGGAAATGTTGCTGGCTTGAGGGCTATTCTGGGATTGTCTAACAAGCTAATCCCCAGCAGAGGGTAAGGGAAACCTGCCAAATAATGGGATATTCCTGGATCCAGAGACCCTCTTGCTTCTTCTTCTGTACTATTTTTTTTTTCAGGGTCTTTACCAACTTGAGACTTTCATTCTGGGAGTCATAAAAGCTGTTAGAGCTAATTAGTTAGGACCCCTCAAAGTCCTTTTCCAATAAGTGACCTCCCTACTGGCTTCCCTGTCCTTGCTTTTAATTAGCAGAAAGTGAGAGATGTTTAACCTTTAATGTCCTTTGGAGTACTTTGTCTACAGCACAGGGAGCACTGAATTTGGTGAGTGACTCAGCTAGCTTGCCCTCACTGCAGGACAGACCTCTAATATTAATTTCTAAGCCCCTAGGGTCCCCAGAGCAGCCAGTGTGTCTATGTAGTTGTCAACTGTTTGATACCTAAAGAAAAAACACTTGTCTGAGGAAATAGGCTGAATAGTTTTGGACTTACTCGGATGCTTTTTCTTGCTAGTACATTTCCAAATCTCACCACAGCCGACCCTATTTGTCTGTCTGATTTCTCCTCTCCCCGGGGAGTTTCCTTCTTTTGCTAATTGAAAAGAAAGAGAGGAGACAGACTTCTAAATTATGTTGACTGTACTATTGTAGAAAAAAATCAGGATTTTTCCTTATACTTTTGATAGAGGTCTGGGTTTTGGTGTGATTTTTGGTTTTGATGCCTACTGAGTTGAGAGCAGTTACACTTCATCCAAATGCTACAAGTAAGTGGTTCAGCAGAAAAAACAACTTCTCTCTTTCAACTTCCTCCTCTACCGCTTCAGTTTTTGTTTTGTGTTACAGCTGCCCGCTAATAGTCTTATCCTAGAAGCCAGAGAATCGCCTAATTCCTTGCCCCTTGTCTTACTGCTTTCCTAGTTATTTCTATTTAAATGGATAGAAAAAACATCAATTCCAAAAGACATGACTAGCCAGGTGCAGTAGAATACACCTGCAATTCTAGCTAATTGGGAGGCTGAGGTGACAAGTTTGAGGGCAGTCTAGGAAACTTAGAGAGACCCCAACTCAAAAAAATAAAGGGGGGGGGCTAGAAGGAAGCTCAGGGGCAGAGTGCCTCTGGGTTTAATCCTCAATACTGCAAAAATAAATAAGTAAACAAACAAAATGACTAGGGCTAACCAATTTTAGTAAACAGAGCCTCTTTCCAAATTGGATATTGCACAGTGCTTGGATACAACCCAGAGTGTTAATAGGTGACAATTTATTTTTACATCAGACTTCAGGAAACTAAATGGGCACTCACAGTTGTAGTAGGCTCAATCCTTCCAAAATGCAATTGGAAATAAGCATGAAAAGCCTTAAATATAGCAATTCTATATCCTAATAAATAATACATCATGTGCAAATATGGCTACTCTTTGTAGCATTGTTTATAATTTCAAAAAATAGAAAACACCATGAAGTTCAATATTTGGTTACTGACCAAATGGTATATCCAGTCAATGGAAAAAAATTGGGGGGCTGGGGATGTGGCTGAAGTGGTAGCACGCTTGCTTAGCATGCGTAAGGCACTGGGTTCAATTCTCAGCACCACATAAAAATAAAGATATTGTGTCCACTTAAAACTAAAAACTAAATATTAAAAAAGTCTACCTTTAAAAAAAGAAAAAAAAGTTTTTTACATAGTTGTAGATGGACAGCATGACTTTATTTTATTTATTTATGTGGTATTGAGGATCAAACCCAATGCCTCACACATGCTAGGCAAGTGCTCTACCACTGAACTACACCCCAGCCCCACTCAATGGAAATTCATGTAACCACTTTAAAAAGGATGTCGGGAGAACACCTAATAGCATGAAAATTTTACTTTTTATTAAGTTAATAAAAAGATAAGAAGCTGGGCACAGTGACACATGCCTGTAATTCCAGAACTCCAGCTGTTGAGGCATGATAGTAAGTTTGAGGTCAACTTGGGAAACTGAGCAAGACCTGTCTCAAAATAAAAAATAAAAAGGGCTGGAGATGTACCTCAGGGGAGAGTGGGTGCCTTATTGATTTTTGTTTATTTTTAAATTGATTTTCATTTTCTTTTTTTAAAATATTTTTTTAGTTGTAGTTGGACACAATACCTTTATTTTATTTATTTTTATGTGGTGCTGAGTATCAAACTCAGTGTCTCGCTAGGTGAGCGCTCTACCACTGAGCCATAACCCCACCCCCTCATTTTCTTTTCTTGGTTATTTTCCAAATTTTCTGTAATGAATGTTTATTACTTTTTTTTTTTTTTTGTACTGGAGATTAAACCCAGGGGTACTTAAACACTGAGCCACATTCCCAGCCCTTTTCTATATTTTATTTAGAGACAGGGTCTCACTGAGTTGCTTAAGGCCTCACTAAATTGCTGAAGCTGGCTTTGAACTTGTGATCCTCCTGCCTCTGCCTCCCTAGCCTCTGGGATTACAGGCATGCACCACCACACTCAGCTTATCTATTACTTTTATAATCTGAAAAAAAACAACAACAACAACAAAGAATATTTTAAAATAAAAATCTTTGGGCTGGGGATATAGTTCAGTTGGTAGAGTGCTTGCCTAGCATGTACAAGGCCCTGGGTTCAATCCCCAGCACCACTGTAAGTAAATAAGTAAATAAATAAGTAAAATAAAAATCTTCACTTGTCATAGTATCATTAAGTCTTTGAAGGTTTATTGAGATAACTAGAAACAGAACCATTTTTATCTGATCCTATTAATATTTTAATAGGAACAAAAATAGATTTGGTTAGAATGTCTGTCAAAGTGTCTCTAGAATGGGTTTTAGAGTCAGACTGACTGGTCAGGTTAGCTGTAAGACTTCAGAAGGTTTTGAACTTCTCTAGTCTTCTATTTGAGCATTAATGAGGATGATATTAGAATCTAAACATCATGGGGCCGGGCACAGTGGTGCACATCTGTAATCCCAGTAACTCAAGAGGCCTAGGCAAGAGAAGATCCCAAGTTAAAGGCCAGCATGAGCAATTTTGTGAGACCCTATCTCAAAATAAAAAATAAAAAGGGCTGGGGTTGTAACTCAGTAGTAGACCACCCTTGAGTTCAATAAAGAATATGGAGGAGGGGCTGGGGATGTGGCTCAAGCAGTCGGTCGGGCGGTAGCCTGGTATGCGCGGAGATCCTCAGCACCACATAAAAATAAAATAAAGATGTTGTATCCGAAAACTAAAAAAAAATAAATATTCAAAAAAGAATATGGAGAAGAAGAGAGGGAGGAGAAAGCAGAGGGCAGGAGAAGGAAAGAGAGAATCTAAACATGGGACTATTGTAAGGATTAAATAAAATAGTGAAGATACTACGCACATTTCTGTCTATAATGAGCATCAATAACGAAGCTAAGATGACTATCAATAATTACCACCATCAGAAATGAACAAACCAATAATAAAGAACATAAACACTTGGGAAGATGGGGAGTGAATGAGATGTTATATCCCCTTCTCTAGAAGCTGTTCTGCTACTAGATGTCCTGTTTTATAGACATCTCACTATTTTAAAGAGTGTTTTTTATTAAATTAATTAATTTATTTTAAAAATTTATTCTAATTTGCTATATATGTTAAAGAGTATTTTGTTTGTTTGTTTTCAGTGATAACAACATTCTGGAAGACATGTACTTTTGTTCCCATTTTATAGATGGGTCAACTAAGGCCTTATAACTTTGGTAACTTATTCAAGAAGGCAGGGATCAAATTTATTTTCTTTTTTTTTTTTTAGTGTCTTCTGCATCTATCACTGTGCCCAGTATATATAGAATGTTCAATAAATATTTGTTTAATAAAGGAAAATAAATAATTAGTAGGGATAGGACTTGAATCCAATGTACTGACCCTAAGTCCTATTTGCTTTCCAATGTACCTTGCTTGTCTCTTCAAATATAGGGATTTTTTTTTAATCAACAAGACAGCCTTAATATTAGTGCTGACTACAGAATGATAGTGGTCAGTATTAGGTCTTGGAGTTTATGGTGAAAATTCTGCAAAAGAACAGCTACAATACCACAAATAACTTAGTATGAGGTTTTCACATATACTATATTCTTTGCTCTTCAAAACAAAACAGTGATCTAAACAATAAGAGTTACGTTAATCTATATTTTGCACAGAGAAATTAAAGGATTTGCCTAAGATCACATAGCAAATAAGTATGAAAGTTATATTCATATATTCCATGGATATTCTCCTTTCCACTTCCACCCTTTTAAACAGAAACTTTTTCTAAAGCTGATCTGCTTGATCTGTGATTACTAGTGGTGGAAGAATGGGTTGTGAGGTCAGGCAGGCTTGGGTTGGAACCTTGCTTTACCTGCTTCTGGCCAGGTCACAGGACCAGAAAGTTAACTTCTCACCTCTCTGAGCCTCAGCTTTTGGCTGGCTATAAAGTGGGAGGAGGGGTAAGACCACTTACTCATAGAAGTGTTGGGAAAATTAGATGAAACTGTAGAGTGCCTGGCATAGAAAGCTCTCAAATGCTACAACTATTGTTATTACCTGGGGAAGGAGGGAAAGGAGAGAAGGGGAAAGGAAGAAAGAGAACAAAGAGAAACAATGCCAATTCACCATGTCCAGCCCTGCTAAGGACACTGGAGTGGGGTATTGCTGTCTTTTCTAAGGTCTCCTGAAAGGAGTAAATGGGAAGGAGATGCTGCTCTGGTGTGGGGACCAGGAGGTACCAGGCTGAGGAAGGTGGCAGTGGGAGGCAGTATCTCCAGGCTCTCTGATTCCCCACATATACCAACAGAGATGATAGATACCCTCTGCCCTTCCACCCTACTCACCAGCTTCTCCTGCAGCAGAGCTGGTTTCCCATGGCGTATGGTCCCCCGGGGAGCACAGCTGTTTTCCAACATAAAGAGGCTTGTGCATTTCCTGGTTCCTGGTTTAGCTTTCTGTGGCAGCTCCTAGGGAGTCTCTGTCAGTGTCAGATTTCAACCTAGCAGGTTGGACTTTGGAAGTCACCTGCTGGAATGATTCCCAGGTGACTGTTCCCAGCCAAGAGTAGAACAACATACAGGGCTCCAGGTGACAACTATCTCACCTTCGGGATTTGAGGCTTCTTTTAATGAAACCATGAACTTTGAGCTTCCAGCTTCAAATAAAAAAGAAACCTGAGATAGAAAAGGACTCTGCATTTCCTTAGGAAAGTTTTTCCACTAGATCATGCTGCATTTGAAATATAGCCTCCATAGTAGAGTCTCCCCTATTTTCGCCAAGCACCTCTCAAATTTGAGTTTCATTCCCAAGGTAATTGGTACCAATTGTTTATGATTTCTGTCCAGAATCTGGGTTTGAATAATAGAGTGTCTTGGAAACTGAATTTTAGGAAAATGGATTTCTTTTATATTCTCTCTTGCTATTGGAATTAATGTGGGCAAATCACTTAAACTTTTAGAGACTAGGTTTTCAGGATTGTAAAGCAGAGGTAATAAATTTATCATCTAATCCGCTTTCTGGTATAGAATCAGATGATTCTATGATTGGAATGGTCTCAGCATTTCTTGACCACTAACTTCCCCATCCCTAGTTTCAGGACTACAAAATCTTCACACAGCTGTGGCTTCTGTCTCTAAGTTAGACTCATTCCCCACTTTCCAGCAACTAGGATGCAGCTAAGCAAATTCCTCTGTTGAAATTATGAGTTCTACAAAAGTATATAAAGCCCACAAATCTTGTTTTCAGTATTCTCACCTCATCTTTAGTGTCTTCCTCAGCTCTGGACTCCACAGAACACCCTGGACTCTGAACTTCTCCCCATCTTCTTAGAAAAATGTGGATAAGAATGACAACCTCATAGGATTGTGGTGAAGATTGAATGAGATATATGTAGGCAAAACACTAGCTCAAGTCCTGACACATGAGAAGCTCTCAGTAAGTCTTAGCTGTTGTTATTATTATTGCTTCTTGTTCTCCGGTAATTATCTTATATTATTACCTGTGCCCCAATCTTTGCATATGCTCCTGCCCTGCAGACCATTTTGTAGTCTACCATTAACTGTGTTCTTTTCATCCTGTTACCTGCTCATCTTCCCCCCAGTCAAAAGCTATCAGTAGGGCTGGAATTGTAGCTCAATGGCAGAGTGCTTGCTTAGCATGTGTGAGACTCTGGGTTCAATCCTCAATATCTCATAAAAGTAAATAAAATAAAGGCATTCTGTCCATCAACAACTAAAAAACAATGACAACAACAAACAAATAAAAACTATCAGTAATTTCCTGTTACCTACGTGATAGAATTCCAGCATCTTTTTTTTTTTTTTTCAGATTCTGGGGATTGAACCCATGGGTGCTCTACAATTGTGATACACCCCCAGCTCTTTTAATTTATTTTGAGATAGGGTCTTGCTGAGTTGCCCAGACTGGTCTTGAATTTATGATCCTCCTGCCTCAGCCTTCCAAGTATCTGGTATTGCAGGAGGATGCCAGGGCGACCGTTTTAGAATTCCAGTTATGGAAGCTTTCCATAATTTGGTCCCTTTCCAACAACCTCTTCTGTAATTTACAGGAAATCACCTAAAAGATTTTTAGATATCCAGAAACTCCATACAGTGCATTTGTGGCAGAAAACCTGATGTGTTTTAAGCAATATTAATAGGAATGTAGAGTGATAAATAAGGTTATTGATTATTCTACTGAAGTCTCTAGTATACTAGTCAATTCATGCTTGGAATAATAATTTTAGGTCTGTATGTTGAATTTCAAGTTACACTGTCAAATGGCAGTGTGTTCAAAAGAAATCTGTGTAGTATGTGGTATGGAAAGTGCTATAACGTATAGCTGAAAGAACTAGGCACAATTTCCTAGAAAAGGGATGCATAAAAAAAGCAATATGATTTACATTTAAATATTTGAAGGACTTTCAAGTGAAAGATAATTGCATTTGTTTTCTGTACATAAACAGACCAATGGACAGAAGATACTCAAATGCAGATTTTGGAACAGAAGGAAGAATTTATAAGTTATGTCCAAAAAGAAAATGGAGTGGGCTACTTGATGAAGTTCTAAGTTCTCTGTCATTCAAATTGCCCCAGAAGCTGGACATGGTGACATACATCTATAATCCCAGCAACTCCAGGAAGATGGCCAGTTTGAGACTAGCCCAGGCAACTTAGGGAGACTGTCACAAAATAAAATAAAAATATAAAGGGCTACGGCTGGGGTTGTGGCTCAGCGATAGAGCACTCACCTAATATGTGTGAGGCCCTGGGTTCGATCCTCAGCACCACATAAAAATAAGTAAATAAAATAAAGGTATTGTGTCCAACTATAACTAAAAAATAAATATTTAAAAAATATATAAAGGACTAATGATGTAACTTAGTGGTAGGGTGCTTACCCAATATATGCTTACCTTGCATATTGGGTAAGGGCCTCATGTCTGTCCTGAGGTCAGTAGGAAGGAGAGAGAGCCCTAGTTGAGGGGGGGTGAATGGGGAGTTTGAGTGGGAGATGGATTTCAGTTAAGCCTGAAGTGGGTTCAATCTTCAATAATGAGAAAAGAAAAAGGGGGGAAAAAATCCCAGAAGTTGATTAATAACTAAATTTATTCTTTTAAGAAATCCTTTTCTTTAGGCAGAGCTCAGAAGCTGAGCTTGGTGGGAGAATTCATGCTTTTTTAAAAATATTTTTTTGGTGCATTATAATTATATGTAATAGTGGAGTTCATATGCATTCATACTTAATGGGCATAAGGCCCTGGGTTCAATCCTCAGTCCCCAAATAAATAAATAACGGAATAATATGAAGGTATTCTGGTTGAAGTCTGAGTAGAATTCTTTTTTTTTTTAATTTTTTTTTTTTAGTTGTAGTTGGACACAATACCTTTTATTTAATTTATTTATTTATACGTGGTGCTAAGGATCAAACCCAGGGCCTCACGCGTGCTAGGCAAGTGCTCTACCGCTGAGTCACAACCCCAGCCCTAGAATTCTTTTTTTATTCTTCTCACTACATGGTAAGATTTCTGAGTATATAAGAAAGATTTTCATTTTTATAATTCATATTTATAATGTATATCCCCCTAGTGCATTACTTGGAGTTTGATAAATATTTGTTGAGTGAATGAATGGATCGATGGATGAATGAACAGTTGAACATAATATTATTTCTTCTAAGTGCATTTTGATCTTTAATGGAAGACAGTCCTTTAATCAATAATTGAATTCTTTAAGTGAGGATTCTTATCCTAGGGATCCACAATCCTTAAAAGGGGCATGAATGGATCCCCAAAATTGTGTGAAACTATTCAAACAGTATTGTCAAATTTGGGAGCATGTGCATTTTTCTGGAAGAGTATCTACGGTTTCATCAGATTTTCAAATCAGTCTGTTACCCCCAAAAGTCAAGAAAAATCACTTAAATGGAAGAATTTCAAGTGTCTAGCACCATCTGGAAAAAAATACACTCTGGGGCAAGGAAATCTTCTAATGTTCCCCAAATCATAGACGTGCACAACCGCTTGATTAAAGAGTAGGTATGGGGATAGACCCCCAGGCTTTCCTGAACACACCATGCCCATAGCCTTAAGACCTTACTTACAAGGGACGCTTCCCTGCTAACCACCAACCCAGTAAGAGACCTAGATCCCTGCATTTAGTCTTGGATTAGGTGAAGTGATGCAGTAATTCCTCTTTTTGAGACAATGCTTCCTCACATGGGCCTCCCTTGTACAGAGGATGAGGAGGCTGTGGGGTTCAGTGACAACGGTGGAGGCTTTTGTGCCCATGTATGCATACTCAGACCATCAGAATCAGAAACCATTTCAGAGGACAGACCTTAGTATGGAAAAACAAAGCATTCACTCCAGGGCTTTAGGCAACTCTCCCCAGCCAAAAATCATTTTCCCAACCCCTACCCAAAAAGGGCCAGACAGTCTGGAGACCCTTGTTTTTGTGTCTCTAATCACCAGCTCAGACAGTGCCCTCTGGGCTGTTTGGATGGCATATCCCTTTTCCCTCCCAGGATCACTCTCTCTTTTGTTGCATTGTGAGAAAATTATGATTAGGAATTTGATCTGGAGCCAGTGTTAGCTTCCGGCTGTGATCTCAGCATCTAAGTGTGAGCTCAGGGTACTGTGACGTTGAGCACATATAACAGGACCTTTTTGTCTAGCTGGCTATGATCTCTCCTTCCCACCCATCCCATTTTCCAGGCCACAGAATACTGAGCAGCACAAAGGAGGCCCCAAGATTTGGGTTTATTCAGTTCCACCCAGAACTAAACCAAATGCTATAACACGTCCCCAAAAGACCAAACCATACACTGTGGACCATGCACCTTTCCCTTCCCCCAAGGATGCTGCTACCTCTGGGGTGGTGGGCAGCTGCTCAGATCACTTCGGGAGGTAGAAGGGACTTGCTGGGTGCTGGGTCTATGGCAGTCAGGACTCAACTCTGGCTGCTTCCTCCTCTTCCTCTGGATCAGGAGGTGCAGAGAGCAGGGAGATGTAGACCTCATTGACCTCTGTGTCCAAATGACGGCCACCTCGTGGTGCCTCCAGGTTAAGGATGCCATCATGGGAGAGAGCAGCTTTGACTCGCCAGGGGTCAACATCAGCAGGTAGAACATAGGTGCGGCAGAACTCTCGAGACACGAAGCCGTGGCGGTCCAGGCGCTGGGGGTGCTTGGCAGACACCTCCAGTAGGTTGTCCACAGTCCTCACGGTCACCTCATCTGGGGTAAAGTGGCTCACATCCAGAAATGCCTGGAACTTGCCCTCACTGAGCCTGAGCTCAGAGGCCCCTGCCCTGCTGCCCTCCCCAGCTTGGGTGGCCCGAGGCCGCACATAGTAGCCATGGTAGAGGGTGGGGGTCAGGATCTCTTCTGGAAGTAGGCCTGAGGGCAGAGAGAGAAGGCAAGAGGCAGGATGAGGGAGGATAAGGTGGGCACAAGGGTGAAATGAGAGATCATGAGATGCAGGAATGGGAAGAGCCGGAGGGGAGTCAAAAGTAGGGAAGGGGAACCAGGCAGACAGCTGGGAAGAGGGTGGTGTTGAAAGGAAATGAAACTGCAGTAGAGCAGGGAAGCCAAGCCAGGATTTGGTGGGTAGAAGGGACTTAGGGAAGCGCACAAAGAAAGGAAAGATGCAGGTATCAAAGCACTGCAGGGCCCCATGTCTGTCTTGAGGTCAGTAGGGAGGGAAGAGAGCCCTGGTTGAGGGGGGTGAGCGGGGAGTCTGAGTGGGAGATGGCTTGCCCCAGGAGTTCAGTTAAGCCTGAAGTGGGGTGGAAGCCAGTAACTTTGGGAGGTCAGCCCAGAATATCGGGAAGTGGGGGTGGGAGGCACTGGGGTGGCGACCGGCCCATACCTTCGCCAAAGCGCTGCTCACCCAGGCGGCTGGGGTTGGCAAATTCGTACTCGGCGGTGGCCGGGTGGGCATGTGGCACTGAGCGGCCCGACATGGCGGCAGTCGCTGCAGCAGTCCTGCTCCGAGGTGCGGCCCCAACAGGCGCAACGCGACCCCTCCAGCTGCTCGGAGAGCTAGAGCTCAGTCGAAGGCGGAGGCGGGGTCTACACCACCCAAAATAGTGCAGAGCCTCTGCGGGGAGGGCAGGGAGCAGGGGCCCCGAGTGCAGTGATGAGGGTGTGACCAACGCCGCCTGACCCAGACCCCCAGTCCCCTCCTCTGCACACGCTTCAGCTGTCGCAGGGGACCTGAGAGGACAGCTGGGAGTCCTGACCCTGGAGTGAGCTGGGGAGGGGAGCTGGTGCTAGCTGAGACCCTCACCTAGCTGAGGGGCCTAGCTGAGACCCTCACCAACAGTTTGCACATTTCCACATCACCTTTTCTCCTCAGGCTTAAGCAACATGCATGATGCTTAATAAACACTCTAGATTTAATGTTATGCCAGCCCCACAGCATAAAAGATATAAGAAACTTTACTGCCCTTTTTTGGGAGCACTGCCCAGATTGTCAGGGTCTTCTCCTGAAACCAGGTCAACCCAGGGCACCCAGTATATGCTTGCTACTGACATATTGGCATTCACTGCTCTCCCCCAGGGACCCACAAAGAGTTAATGTCCCTGGGGCCCAGCCTAGGAAGATTCCAGTCCCTGCCCAGGCCCAAGATAGTTGCTGGCTCAATTCCCCTGGCATGCAGTACTGGAAGGGAGGAGGAGGGGCCGGCCAGCGCCTGCTTGGGATTCCTGACTCTGTCCAGATCTAGAGAACAGAGGATGGGGGTGGGTGCCACTGGGTGTGGACAGAAATCCAGTGAAACAAGACCATGACAAGTCACTGGCCAGCTCAGACGTGTTTGTGTTTCTCTTTTCTTAGCTCAGTGAGTACCGGGTATGTGTCACACTGCCAAATCCCCGATCACAAGTCTCCATGAACTGGCGGTGAGCTGGGATAATAAAACCCCTGACATCACCATTCCAGAAGCTTCACAAGACTGCATATATAAGGGGCTGGCTGTAGCTGCAGCTGAAGGAGCTGACTAGCCAGCTGACCCCTGCATTCACTTAGCAGCCATGGACATCGCCATTCACCACCCCTGGATCCGGCGCCCCTTCTTTCCTTTCCACTCTCCCAGCCGCCTCTTTGACCAGTTCTTCGGAGAGCACCTGTTGGAGTCTGACCTCTTCCCAACATCCACTTCCCTGAGCCCCTTCTACCTTCGGCCACCCTCCTTCTTGCGGGCACCCAGCTGGATTGACACTGGACTCTCAGAGGTGAGTCTCCCTTTTGCCAGGACAGGAGCCCTTCCTGGAATCTCCTGAATATTCTCTATTTTTCTTTTTTTTCCCCTGCCTAAGCCATTTAGGCACATGTGTCCAGAATTGAAAAAAAGTGGGGTTAGTAATGCTTCCTTCCCCCAGGCACCTGTTTCTATTTGATGCTCCTCTGTATCCTATTTATTACATTTTTTAAAAATACACAGTGAAGATCATCCTCTGTTCCCTTTTAAGCAGGATAACCCTTTTGGTTTGATTCATAATAATCTACAAGGAAAAAGCTGTCTTCAAACTCCTTTGCTCATCTCTGCTAATATCTCATACTCCTAGCAGATTTTATTATGAAGTTCTAGAGCCCAGGGAGACCTATCTCATCCTGAGCTCTTCATCCCCACTGAGTGGAGCTGGAGATAACAGTCAACTGTTTTCTTTCATTCTGTTCTCTCTATGGTTTTCCAGGTGCCTTAGGGCTGTGGCAGGGCAGTGGCCTGGAGCCAACCCTTATATGGAAATAACCAGGGTCCAGTCTTAGGACCCCCTTTTATCCTAAGAGGGTGGGAAAATGTGGTGAACAGAGGCTATCATAGATAAGCTCTGGTTTAAAAATATTTAAGTGTGAGTAAACAGCAGCTGAGTGGGCAAGGGCTTTGAAAGGACAAGCAGGATCAACAGAACATTCCAGATTGAGTGGGTGGGAAATTTGGCAGAGAACTGAGCAAAAAGAAGGGGCCTTTGTCTCACAGACAAATGACAAAGCTAGGCACTGGGTCAGCAAGGCAGCAGAAGCCAGGCCCACATCCATCCTTGTGACAGGTCTCCTAGGTGGTCAGTATTCTTTCCTGTTTACCTAAATAAAGTTTGGGCCTGTGGCCAAGAAGTAGGCCTTGGGTACCACTGTGGTGGCTACCCTGAGCCAGAGAGCCATGTTTATTCAAAAGTTATTTTTAATACACAAGAGGAAGATGAAATACCTAGATAGAAAGCAAGTCTGCAGAATGAGACTGCACCAGTGTAATCAACATTCTTGCCATCTTTTCTCTTCCCTACTCACTTCCCTTGCTGTTTCTAGATGCGTATGGAGAAGGACAGGTTCTCTGTCAACCTGGATGTGAAGCACTTCTCCCCAGAGGAACTCAAGGTCAAGGTGCTGGGAGATGTTATTGAGGTGCATGGCAAGCATGAAGAGCGCCAGGTATGGAGTTTTTTTCCCTTATGCTCATTCAGTGTATCCTGTACACCAGGTACTGCCATCAGCCTCTGAGACTGGAAAACTAAATTAGGGATAAACTTGTTTTGTTTGCCCAGAGAAATGGCCTTTGTTGTTCTGATTGCTTTGGATAGGGTGTTCACTCCCCATTTAAGCCAGGGGTTTTCAACCTTGGCTGCATTAGGATCATGAGAATTTTTTTAAATTCCAAGGTTCAGGCATACCCCAGACTAATTAAATCAGAATTTTTAGGGGGTGTAATTCAGGAATCAGCATTTCTTAAAGTTCCCTGGGTAATTTTAATCTATAGCCAAGACCAGAACCATTGCCTTAGGTATAGTGTTGTCTTGACACTTGGTTGCTTTACGTAATTACATAAACTACATTCACCCTGAAGGCACTGGAGTTTGTGACTTTTCTTTTAGATGTTCAGGCATTCATTTCTCTTAAGCCCATCTGAATGTTAAACTACTTGGTTTGCCTACTTTTCAAAGCTTATCAGCACCTAATCCCTTGTAGGTGGATGAGGAAATCAGTTAATTGAAAGTTTATTTAGATAGATGTTTGGGATTCAGCAGGCATAAAGTTTACAGTCAACTGTTTGATTTTTCTATTTTATTACTGGAGATTGAACCCAGGGGGTGATCTACCACTGAGGTATTCTCCAGCTCTTTAATTTTTTTTTTTTTAATTTGAGACAATGTCTTGCTTAATTGTCCAGGCTGGCTGGCCTTGAATTTGTAATCCTCCTGCCTCAGTCTCCCTACTAGCTGGGATTGTAGGCATGTGCCACCATGCCTGTTTAGGGTCAATAACTCTTGCAGGGGGATTCTGAAACATGCAATGGTTTTCCATGACTTTCTGAAAATTTAAAAATTGCTTCTGAACAATTAATGATAACTCAGAACCTTTTCAAAATTTGTATAATTTAATGTCCTCAGGCTGTTTCAGTTTTGCTCATGTGATTTCAGACCGGGTCAGTCTCCATGGAGTTGTTTTTTGTTGTTGTTGTTGTTGTTTGTTTTTAAGCAGCAGTCCTGTGTGTCTGGAACATTCCTGAAGAGTCTGGACAATTTCTGGGTTTTCTCAGGGACTCAGATTCTCAATGTCAGAATGAGATTCCAAATCTTGTAGGTCTAGCCAACACTGATCTAAACCTTTGTAAAATACCCCTAAACATAACAGTGCTTCAGTGTTATAAAGAACTAGTTTGAGGCTGTTGCAGGTTTCTCAGACTTTTATTTGTAGGAGTGACCCTCTAGGCAACCTTATCCTAGCCACAAACCTGAAAAGTTGTTGTTATTATTGTCTCATGTTGTTATGGCTTTTGGTCTCCCCTAAGGGGAATGAGATATCTGAGTTTTGGGCAAGTGATATTTACTTCTTTGCTTCTTTCTTTCTTCTCATGGATTAGGATGAACATGGTTTCATCTCCAGGGAGTTCCACAGGAAATACCGAATCCCAGCTGATGTGGATCCTCTCACTATTACTTCATCCCTGTCATCTGATGGAGTCCTCACTGTGAATGGACCAAGGAAACAGGCCTCTGGCCCTGAGCGTACCATTCCCATCACTCGTGAAGAGAAGCCTGCTGTCACTGCAGCTCCCAAGAAGTAGATGCCCTTCCTAATTGCATTTTTTAAAATAAGAAAGTTTCCCTACCAGTGAATGAAAATCTTGTGACTACTGCTGAAGCTTATTAATGCTAAGGGCAGGCCCAAATTATTAAGCTAATAAAATATCATTCAGCAACAGATAGCTGTTTTGTGTTTGAATATTTTATATGGTTTTAAATAAACACACAAATACAGCAGATTCATTTTAATCATCATATGATTTGGGGGGTTCCAAGTATTTAAGAGTCAGAATGACTGGTTTCCACCACTTATTAATGACAAAAATTTAGGCAAGTCACTTTATTTTCTCAGTCTTCAGGCCTTCCACTTATAAGATGGGTACTGATTTGTATAGTAAAGAGTAAATTAAGGAGAAAAATTATGTGAAGGGCTCAGTGGTAGAGCATTCGTCTAGCATGTGCGAGACCCTGGGTTCGATCCTCAGCACTACGTAAAAATAAAATAAAAGGTATTGTATCCAACTACACCTAAAATAAATAAATAAACAAATAAATAAATAATGTGAAGCCCCTGAGAAAACTGGAGGAATATCAGTTCTTCTCTCTTTCCTCTTTGAGATTGTAGCTCTCAATTTCAATGAATGAACTCTGGCTAACAATACACAAAAGACCTAGTGCATTTCTGAAATTAATTACATCAATGTGGTGACCCTAATGTTATTTGATATTTTTCTACCGGTAAGCGGTGTCTTTAGCTGATTCAACACCCAACAAGCCATCAAGTATAGTCTAAATTATCAAGCAAACGCCTAAAGTAAGGCTGCAAAATATTCAGTGATTTACCACAAAAGGTTAAATTTTAGAATTACAATTAATTACTGATATATATGTATTTCTATTGTTTAGCTTAAACAAAGAAATACTACTCTATAAAAAAATAGAAATAAAACACTTCTCCTGCCCCCAAATATACCCACAAACCTCTTTTCATTTCACTTTTGTGAATCTAAACAAGACTTCTG